CTTTTTCTCCTGACGTTTATATCTCACCACAACGCACCACCTCACTTCTTTGGCTCATGTTTGAGGAGTAAAAATAGACAAGTGCTGCTGACTGATAAAAGATGGTGTGAGTTCTATAATTATGCTGCAGGTGGAGAGGTTTTGACAGCCAAGCAAATACACAGATAAAACACTTGGTGGCTTCTGATAACAATGCCAACCCCAAGTTCCCTGACACATCAACAGCAAAATGAAGAGTGCGTGAGAGAGAAGTAAAAAAAGTGTATTCAAACTCATACATTGACTTCATCCTGAAAAAACACACTAGTCAGTATCACTGATTAACGTTATTTGTTAGTTCAGTAAAACACAGAGACACAGAGTTTGGTATAAAACACAATTTTTACAGGTATTTAGCCATGGACCTTGGTCTGCCTTGGTTGGAAAATAAATTATCCCTTACCCTGCATGTGCAGGCTTTTCAAAACAATTTGTCTTAAGAAGGGGATCAATAGTGTAGTGTTACTGCAGTGAGGTAGAATATCCTCAATGGCTTCCTCTTTAAAGCTGCAGCAGGCGACTTTGTATGTTGGTAGCACCAAATAGTAGCAACAGGTAATGTCGCAAAGTTTTAATTAATAAAATAATTAATTACCCACAAATAATGCAACTGCAAAACCAAATTTCAACCCAAATATCCAAAGAGGGAAAAATGGTTTTGCAATAGCTTAACCATCATTGAGCTCATTTTGGACTGCTTGTTTTTCATTCATTTAGATTTTTAGCTTCCTGTGTGCAGAAAAGATTTTAAGGCGGTAATCATGCAAGGAATGAACACACATGGGCCAAAATATATATCACTTACTGATTCAAGCCAATAGGAGCTCTTTAACAATCATACTGTTCTGTTTAAAATTCATGTTAAACCTACACTGGACCTGACTTGAACGGCTGCCATAGAGTCACTTGGGCCCATTAACCACGCCAAAGCCACTAAACAGCATGGTTGTAACATCTGACCACCTGTCACAAACTACAGGTGGGATCAGACAGTTAATGTAGTGTGAAACCTAAACAGAAATCCATCAGCATGAGTACAAGGCTGAACAGCGATGCTGAGAGGGACAGAGTTACCTTGACAACACTGGCAAAACCTGAATCCCAGTGTAAACAAAAAAGCTTGAGTCTCATTACGAAATGCCAGAATGTTTTTCAGATTTATTTGTCTTCAGTAACACTAAACTATTTCTACATATGAGTAACAATGATGTAATGTTTCAGTGGGACTAGCACAATAAAATGCATGCTTTAAAAGCAGATATTGAATCAGTTAGAAAAAAATCCTTAAATTCATGTTGTTGGCTACATTAGCAGAGAGTATGTTGTGCAATCTGAATATATGTTTTCAGTGTGTCTGTTTCAGCATTCATAATTTATTTAGTTTAATCACAAGATCTGATGACTGAAGCTGTGTAACAAACCATGCATGACCACATGGTATCCCCTAAACATCAAGGGTTTACAGCACAGCACAGAGGTATGCAAACACACACACTATTTCAAAGGCTTTGTACTTAAACAGATGCAACCCAGCATAGTTCCCATACTATTTACAGACATGACCACAGAATGAGCATTAGTGTAAACAGAACCCCTTGTGCTTTTATAAAAAGAAACTTTAACATTTTGTATAAAATATTGTAATCTCTTTAAGAAGTGCCTCTAGTGATGTGGGTGACCATGAAGGAATGTATTTATCATTTAAACAAGTATAATCATATTTTAACAATCTCTATTACACAAGTATAGAGGTGGTTAATTTCCCATGATCAGTTTAAGTCAAACTCTTTATCAAATCAAAGACAATCATTAACAGATTAGGTATCTTTGGATAATTCATAGACTTATGTTAACTCATTTTAGGCTGAGTATCATACTACATTCTGTGTTTGCACACATGTTAACTAACTCTTTTCAAATTTAGACTGTATTTCAAGTTCTTGTGCATCTACTTGTATTTATATAACATTTGAACATTTTTAATCCTCAAAGTAAGGTATCAAGGTAACAAAACTCAGGTATTGTATCAGCGTAATTGTCAAAAAGGACATATTGCCTTAAAACTACAGCCATTTTGAACAAGATTTATTTCTGCAACATGCATTTAAAGGGTCAAAGCCCTGATAGATCTCACAGTTATTTTCTATTTCCCCTGTTCAGGCCTCATAATTTAAATGAATGCATGTCAGGAAATACAAAATATTAACAAGAAAAACTTAAATAAAAAACAGAAATCTACTTAATTAGTGGTCCAGGCCTGGCCATGATCCAATAATGGATGCAGAGGAATGACTAAGACTAATAGAGAGGAAGAAAAATGGGTGTTCGGAGAACATTAAGACTGTGATTTATAACTGTGACATTATCCTGGCCCTATAAACATTTCATAAGTTGACAGAACAAGGACTTGAGTCCAAACACTTACAAACAACCAGTGTTATACACACAGATTCATGCACATGCACCAAAGCAAACACACAGAGGACTCTTCAATCACTAATGATTAAGATTAGGTTGTCTTGTTAATAATAAAACAATAAAATCCATGCAAGGGTAGCAAGTAACAAGAATATTTCAGGGAAAGAGCTGTTGCAGATTACAGCTTCATTTGTTATAAGCTTTTGAATTCAGAAAACTACTAGGACTGTATCCAAATGTTCCCGATACTTCTGATTGTACTGCTTTAAGAAATGTATTATTGTCGTCAGCCTACGTCATTTGCTACCGTGTGAGGATGGCACATCTATAAATGTATGCTTATGTATGAATATCTGTGTGTGTGATTTGTCTGTGTCCTCTTGGTGCTGAAGAGGAGGAGGGGGAGATGTGACTGAAGCATCTGGTGTGAGAAACCGAGAAGGCTGAAGACAAACTCGCTGCTTGCGCTCAGAGGAGCTTCAGAGAGTGTGTGAATAGCAGGGGATCTGTTTATTGTGACAGTGTGGTACTTCTGCAGAAAACCATGCAGCTATAATGCTGTATCATTGCAATGTACGATGATAGTTGAGATTACAGCCACATTAAATCTTACTGACTATAGTGCAACTGACTCGAATGACTTAAGGCTACTTTAAAGGAACAGTGTGTAATATGTTATTCAATACCCAAATTTGTATAGAAGTGATATTCATAATGGTTCAGATAAACAATTTTAACAAAATTTCAACACAAATTTCAACAATTTAGTTGTTGTTACAGTGTGTGAAAATACCATTATCCACTTTTCATAAACTAGATGTACTTTAATGTGTAATCTTCATGGTGTACCTATCCTCAAGTCATTGGGAGTAGGAATCATAGAGAGTGGTTTTGCAGAGCACCTAACACCTCAGTAACCTCACTCTATCCCTGAGAAGTCAAAGTACCCTTGTCCTCATTCTGTCAACAGTAAGATACTACACAGTGATGCTGCATGCTGCTGAAGCCAGTATATATTACACAGAACAATTGCCATTTATCATATAATTGCTAGTAAATGGCAAATACAGTCTCAGCACATGCTGTCAAATCATGGTCTGTAAAAGACAGCATTATCCTTTTCACCACACAATACAATAGATAATGCAAAGAATGAGACATCCAACCACTAAAGATTAACATACCAGTCAACAGCCAGTCTGTAGGCCCATTCTGCTTCAGCATTCTGCACTGTCTGCTATTGTTTATGTGTAGACCCACTTAGAATCAAAACCATGACAGGGGTAGTTACTAAACACTGAGCAGGTATGTGGAGTATTAGAATACAATTATAAGAGGTATCTATGAGAACAAATTCATGTAGAAAGTAGGGATTCAGGCCAAATTATCCACTGCAAATTCCTAGCTCATCTGATAATAGCAATCTAGTTTGAATAGGCATCTTTTCAAGTAATAATGGGGCTCTCTTTCAGCAGCTGGCAGATAAGTGGAGGGGAAGCTCATGACATTTTACATCTGGACTTAAAGTCAGTAATTGAGGGAAATCACAACAATTGTTAAGATTGTGTATTTATGCTCACAGGCTCGGGAGAGGACAACCTGCCCTGTTCACTCGAGACATACAGTATGATGTATGCAATTAGAGGTCAGGGTTATGACATTCACTCTAATTAGACAGCATATAACGTCGGACCACCTCAGCGTTGACCATTATGTGCCATCAGTTAGTGGTGTAAAGCAAAGCTATAACCTGTTTATGTCATAAAGATATCTGTATTCAGATGGGAGACGACTGGTTTTACACTTAAATTTGTTAAAAATCATTCTGAATAAAATTTGTGTAATTGCTCTCACGGCCATATTGCACGCACTTTTGAGATGG